ATGTATGTATGTATGCCTATATGTGTGTATGTCTGTTAGTATGTATCTGTGTCCTTGTGTGTGTGTGTGTATTCCTGTGGGTGGGATGTGGAGGCGGACCCTGTGGGCGGGATTGGAGGTGGGCCCCAGGGGGCCCAGACCCTGAGCTGAGTTAGGGGCCCCAAAATTTCTGGTGGCGGTCCTGTTGATAACCACCAAGCTACATTTATTATTTGACACAGCACACATACATTACGCAAAACTTACTCTTCACAATTCCTGTTGTCTTGGTTGCGATCGTCAGACCATCTGAGTACAAAAAAAAAAGAAAATTAATAGCAAGCATTTACTTCATTTATAACACAAAGGGACGTTAATTTAATCCACTGTAAACCAGGATTTGATCATACCCGCGTCAGAAAGCGTGAGAGGGGCTAAACTGTTCCAATCTTGTGAATTTGTTTAAATTGGGAAGTGCTAAAATGGATGTTTTGTTAGAATAATACAATACATATATAACAAAACTGGGAACAATTGGTGCACTCTCAAGACTTTGTAATTCAACACAAAGTTTTAATTTCAAATAGTGACAATTACATATGTGATCATTGTTTTATCCCCTTCTTGGGCCTTTCTCAAGATTCTATCAATTTCTGTAGTGTGTGTTTTTTTGTTTTGTTTTTTGGTGCTGTAAGTAACAGTTTGTCTCCGATTATGCATTTTGGATTAAAGCTGCAAGGTGAATTGTTAGTGTAGGACTCACCTAAGAGGTTTGCCTTGATTTGGCGGATGAGCTTACACTCTAATGGCCACTGGAGTGATACTAAAAATCTTAGCAGTGAGTTTCACTAAAGTAGTTCAAAGTGAAATTCTAATTCAAGGCAATATTAGCTGAACCTGAAGCATTCTCTAAATCGGCTAAATTCTCACTTTGAAGTCTCACTTTAGTGAATAATAGTGTAAATGAACATAGGGATTTGGAATTGTGCACAAGTAACATTTTTTTATTTTATTTTTTTGGGTGGGGTGGGGTGGGGTGGGGGGATGGAGGGGGCATGTCAGCAAGGTTACACCATCCAAAAACAGTACACTGGTTTTGGTTGGGTTAAACCCTTAAAAGTAAACCTGACCCTGTGGGTGTGGGAGTCTTGATAGTACGGCTCTCACATAGCCATTATAGATGCAGGGCAGCGTGCAGATAATATCTGTGTGAGAGCCACACAAAGAAGGGGGAAAAGAGTAGTAGTGGCCAAAACACATTGCACCAGTAGAGGGGGATCTCCCATTGCCTGATGGCCCCATGGGTTGTCAGTCCATCCTTCATACCTCATTGGGCACTCTCCCAGCCTGCCAGTGTCTCTCTGTTTTCTCCCATGCAGGTTTTGAAGCATGGTGCTTGGCGTGCTGTGGTTCCTCTCAAGCAACTCCAGGATTCCTCTTCCCTCCCTTCTTGTTGCCCTGCTATGGAAAAAGAGATGAGAATTGATGTGTGTGTCCCCAGAACCTCCCCCTGTCCTGATGTGTCCACCCTCACCTCCTCTGCTCCAACTGTGTCCATCCTGATTGTCTCCTCTCTCCCCTCAGCCTCCTTTTATTTTTATCCCCTTCCCTATCATTCCCTCCACTATCATCCCCTCTATATCTGTTCCCAATCCTGCTTTTGTTTCTTCATCTCCTTTTCTTGGTGTTCCTCCCTCTGTTTATCTCCCCTGTTCTCCCCTCTCCTGCCCTTGTTAATACCTCCCCTACCCCTGAACCTCTTTACCCTGACTGCCCATTCTCCCCTGCAGCTTATCAGTTGATGACTGCCATGTCCGCCCTCCCCTTTCCCACCTTTACTGCTATGGATGTGTTAGTGCAGCAGTCATAGCTTCCTCTGCCCCCCTCCGGCGTGTTGGGCCGCAGGACAGGCCTCCTGTGATCCTCTGCTGCCAACTGGTACTCAAGATGGCGGTGTTGGGCCTTCACACTTGGCCACATGGTCAGGCCACTCCACTAACTGCTCCACTAACTGCTCCACTAACTGCAGCCAATTCAATTACATCCAAATCCTACCCTGCCGGATGTCAGGGCCACTGCATTGGGGAGAATGCAACGTGGAGCAAAGTTTGACCCTTCCAGCTTGGCAAGAGATAAGTGGGGAGCTACCTTGAAGAGCAGCAGACTAATTGGGAAATGCTCTGGGACTTTAATCAACCATTTTCAGTGCCACTCAGGGGGAGAATGCTTGCTAGTCCTCATGTGGTTAATCCTACAATTTCTATTAAACCCCTCATATGCCTTGCATTCTAATTTACACAAAAATAATTGTACCAGTGCTGTTACACTTTCTGATAATATTAACTCTACCTATGTCTACCAATAATGCTGTGCCTGCTATTCCTAGTGTAGTCAGTCTATTTCAATCCTCTTCCATTTTGCTTGGGTCTGTGCCTCAGTAAGCACAGACTTGGCTTCTTCAGGTTTGCGCCACTCTTCTGTAATAGTCTCATTCTACATGAGGAGGTTGAGGAATAAAATGTCAAGACCATCCCCGACTCTAGATTTCTTAGGGACCGTCTACAGTATCTTGTCTATTGGAAGGGGTATGGTACCGGGGAACGTAGTTGGGTTCCTCACTTTGATATATATATCTTTCTTTCCCTATCTACAACCTCTGTTTGCAGGACCCCCTTGACACACGCATCTACCTTTTCATCCGCCTAGAATTTGAGCTTTGTGACGGAGTTGGTTTTCATCCGCTGGCTTGGTCGCCAGGGTCTTTGTTGGCCGGACCAGTGGGCAAGACCCATGATTTGTGGGGTGCACCTCATGTGGTTGTCCTTCATCTTGGGGGTAAGGATCTGGGTTGTCTTCCGGTGCTGGACTTGACTTGCAGCATTGTTTTCAATGTCCAGAAGACACCTGTCCTCTACGGGGGCTGCTTTCGAATTCCATAAATAGGTCAACCAATTGGTGGACATGGCTGTCTCTAGTGTGCATGGTTTTGTTGTTTGGCATCCGCTATCATGACAGACAAGCCTGAAATGTTTTGCCCTGATGGGGTCCATCTCAGTTCAGTGAGTGTGGACCTATTTTTGGCTGGACTTCTGGCTGCTTTATGGTCCCAGATTTAATCTGCCCCCTATTTTTCAGTGGCGGCGACAGAGTTTCCCTCTCTGGTGGTGAGAGGGTGCGGCCTACCAGTGCATCTCGTGAGGTTCTGTGGCCTAAGATCTTTCCTGAGGTCCATAATGCCTTTGCTTGGGTGGAAGCCACGGGGGCTCCTCTTCAGGACTAGGTGGATTGAAAACAATGCTGCAAGTCATGTCCAGCACCGGAAGACAACCCAGATCCTTACCGCCAAGATGAAAACAACCACATGAGGTGCACCCCACAAATCATGGGTCTTGCCCACTGGTCCGGCCAACAAAGACCCTGGCTTCTTGTGGTCTGGGGCTTATACTCTGGGCCTCAGTGCTGCCTTCCTAGTTATCAGTTATTTTGTATTAGTATTTATGTATTTTGTTGGTTAAATGTTGGATGTCTTTTTTTTTTTTAATTACTATTTATTAAAGCAACCAGTGATGGGGTTTCCCTTCCAATATGTTGTTCGTGACTTCTTGCTAATTTGGGGGATGATTGGCAATATGGTACGGAGGGAGGAGGTCTGGTTATGTTTCTATCTATGTTCATGCATGAAGGCACAATAAGACATCTCCCGCTTATGAACATTTACTTGTTAGTGATTTGTTGTTCAATCTAGTATCTCAGAATGAATGTGATTACTTTTGGATATCACATGGACTGCGGTTTATGAAAAAGGAGTCAAATATAACTCAAATAACATCAGAGAATGTTAGAATCCTTGTATCCAAATAGACTTGGTTAAGCATGGGTTTAGACATAAACATTCAGTGCCAGTTTACTACAGATGGCTAAAAATTGGTAAAGCATAAAAGCATGACTTGTTCTGTTTAGGCACAAAATGTCATAAAACAGATAAACTGCATGGTAATCTATTAATGCAATTGAGGCTGAGATTCTCAAGGGTTTACAAGAACATTTTCAAATCTATGGACAATCCACCATGTATTAGGTCCATAAGGACTAAGTATTTAAAGCCCCTGGAATTCATTTCTAGTGCTAAAATATATGTAATAAACTTTCTGAAATATAAGATAACATCAATGCCTGACCTCTCTACCTGTTAGACGCCAGCTCTCCACATAACCTCATAAACACCACTACTAGACATGTATGTAGGGCCAGTGCAAGGGATGTGTCTACCCAGGCGAAGATGCAATTTGCCACCTCTCCCCCACCAAAAAAAACTCCCTCTTAACCATTTCCATTACTTCTATAACTCACACTTGAGAAAGAATGTCCTCTCTTTCTGTAATCCACAATCTTTCATCAATATGCCCTTTCCCAAAAGTCCTATAAAAGAAGTCAGCCCCATTCTTTCCTACAACCAAAACTGGATAAGTAGGATGCTGATTACTTGCTGTACTCTCTGATACATTTCAGGCAACCAGAGTATTAACATTAAAACAGGGAATTGACTTCAACTACCTTCGCTGACTGAATAATAAGAGAAAGAAAGTAATCTTTTATTTTCAAGTGAATATATTCTGGGCTGTGATATAATGCTATAAATAACTGATGCACATTAAATACCTTATCATGTTTTTCATTGTGGAGTTTTCACACACAGTGTCCCTGGATCTCGCTCCACAGCAGTGGTATTCACCAAGTATATATGGACTTGTGTGATTCATGAAGACTTCAAAACATTCATCAATGTCGTTGGTTGTCAGTTGCCATTTTTCCTTGTTTGGGGCAGTATTTATATATTGTGTTTTCTCACCACTAGAATCCTTGTATCCAAGAAAATGAGCGACTTCGTGAATTAATATCCCTGGCTGAGAATCCTTTGTCAGGTATTCTGATTGTTTCCAAAACGGCGGACACAGGTAAATTACTTTCTTGTACCATAGACATACGGGCCGTACATAAGCAAATGCATCTTGACATATTCTGTTCTTCATGAATGTTGCTTTCTTTAGTTCTCTGATTAGACGTTGCACCAATTTTGGGCTAATTGTTGGAATTGTTGCTGGATTTGCCACTAAGAGATGATCCTTTTTCTTTAGTGCATCAGTCAGAATGCTTAGAGCTGTCTTCCTGGCTTTTTCTGCGAGTCTCCTCTCCTCGTTATTCAGAGGACACTCATGTAAGCTTTCTGAAGTCATTTTTAAGATTCTGTTTTAGTTCCAGACTAACAGTTCTTACTGTCAGGACCAGTTTATATACCGATGAACCTAGTGAAAATTCCCAAGATACCAGCCTTTTATTTTTTGTATTTTTTTTTAAATATGTCTTTCACTTTCACATTTATTTTTGGGCAAGATGCCCATAATAGGTGTGCCTTCATTAATACAATACACAGTGCAGCCTTATGCTGCTTAAATGACGCAGAAAGCAAATAGCTACAACAGCCTTTCAGTGTCAATGAACATATACTGACTTCACAGCAGCCAGTTAGCAAAATTACTAGGAAGTGCAACACACAAGGCGGGCGCTTTCATTAGGCCACTTTTGGTAGGTGGTGGCCATGGGAGCTCTTTAAGAGGGGGAGCCTGCAGCAGCTGTACTCCCTATCTGGACTGCCCCATGTGACAATAGGCCGGCCAGCTCGCTTGGCTGTAATTAAGTCTGCTCAGAAAGCAAGCCTTTAAAAGAAGAGAGCTGCAAAAGGGCAGGACATGCAGTCGCCCTGTGCCTGCGAGATGTGAAAGACAAGCTGGAGGCATGGTAGCAGGACTTCCTTGGACCTTGTGGAGCATGGAGTACCAGACTGTCTTTAATGGGCTCCTTCCAATGGCCCCATCCACTATACAAGGTAGAGCTGGTTGTCTCGTGGGTATGTATATATTAGTCAGTTTGAGTGTGTGTGTGTGTGTGTGTGTGTTATTGGCAGTGTGTGTGTTTGTGTATATTTTACTGTCTTATAGTAATTTGGTCAATATAGGCGCTGGATAAAAAGGTAATGTTTATATATTTCCAATATTAATTGAATATATTCCAAAATTCTTTGATATGCCGCAATGGCATTATTAACACACCAGTACAGTTACCGCACAAAACCAATATAAGTATAACATAGTTAATAAAGTTTAAACACTATATTGGGCAAATCACAATAAACAGATAAGTGTTCTAACACAATATAATGAATCGATTATAAATATATTCACAGTGATGCCTGTCTAGATATTAATCTGATTGATGTATCTAGCTATACCAACCATCTTTAATAACGTATCAGTTCAGTGAGGTCGAGGAAGAACGTTTGAATATTGTACATGAGGATTTTGATGAACACCTGGTCTGGAATAGATCTACTCCTTTCTTCTGCAGTTAGAAACCGAGATCTATTTCTGCCAGGTTTTGGTTGTGACTATATATTTTCAGAAGCACAGGAATTTACAAGTCCCCAGTTAGCCCAAAAAGGGCCGCCATCCGTGGGGTACCACCAATACTGCTGTATGGGGCCACTGCGCTATACCCCCAATTTGCATATATATGTCTAGCAAGTATCGCTATATATTTATGCAGCATCTGCAGCCATTTCTGTCATGTACAGTATAGTAAGGAGACTCCAAATTCCACCTACGGCAGAGTCCACTCGCAAGCACCAGCTGTCAGAGCATTCCTGCGGTTTACCATGGCAATGCTCCGTGCGGTACGCATGCAGGACTCGCAAAAGAAAGAGAGGACATGCAGCCTGAATATGAAGTCTCCTATGCTCCCTCTTCAGTATATAACCTGCTGTGTCACTGAACCACCAGATAATTTAGTGTTCCCTCTCCCTAGCCATGGGTTAGAGGCAGGGAGGGGGACTAAACATAAAGGGACACTATAGTCACCAAAACAAATATAGCTTAATGAAGCAGTTTTGCTGCATGGATCGTGCCCATGCAATCTCACTACTTTCTTTCCATCCATTTAGGAGGTTAAAGTAGGTTTTAGGAGGTTAAATCCCTTTGTTTATGCAGCCCTAGTCACGCCTCCTAGCATGTAAATTACACAGCCTTCCTAAACACTTCCTGTAAAGAGTCATTTAATGTTTACACTTTCATAATTTCTTATTTCCTGCTCTGTTAATTGCTTGCTAGCCCCTGCAGGAGCCCCCTGCATGTAATTCAAGTTAAATTTACATAGCTGGAGGTAAAAAAAAAAGTAAAGCAAGTTACTACTGATTAAAAATTAAACAAATTTGTTTTCATGCAGACTGTGTCCGTCACAGCCAGGGGAGGTGTGATTAGTACTGCATAAAGAGAAACACAAGTGATTTAACCCCTTAATGGCAGAGAATTAAGAAGTGAGATTTATAAGGCTTGAACTATACACATAGACTGCTGACCTCCCGTTAGCACTTATCCAACACCAGTAACCAACACAGACAAACACACACTTCATCCACTGCACACACACTTCATCCACTGCACACACACTGCATCCTCTACACACACTGCATCCACTACACAGACTTATTATGTTATTTATATAGCACCATCAAATTCCGCAGCGCTTTACAATGGGTGGACGAACAGACATGTAGTGGTAACCAGACAAGCTGGACACACAGGAACAGCATCCACTATCCACCACACACACATTGTATCAAATATACACACACTACATCATCTACACACACTACATCCACACTACAGACACATTGCATCCACTACCCACACATACACACACTACATCCAGCACACACAAATACTGCATCCACTGCACCCATCGAGAGAGAGAGAGAGAGAGAGAGAGAGAGAGAGAGATGGGTGCAGTGGATGCAGTATTTGTGTGTGCTGGATGTAGTGTGTGTATGTGTGGGTAGTGGATGCAATGTGTCTGTAGTGTGGATGTAGTGTGTGTAGATGATGTAGTGTGTGTATATTTGATACAATGTGTGTGTGGTGGATAGTGGATGCTGTTCCTGTGTGTCCAGCTTGTCTGGTTACCACTACATGTCTGTTCGTCCACCCATTGTAAAGCGCTGTGGAATTTGATGGCGCTATATAAATAACATAATAATAAGTCTGTGTAGTGGATGCAGTGTGTGTGTGTGTGTAGTGGATGCAGTGTGTGTGTGTAGTGGATGCAGTGTGTGTGTGTGTGTAATCCTGTGGATCAGATACTTCAGAATCTGACATATTGGTAGACTCCATTTTAAAGGTGCTATTGCCTATTCCCCATACTCACTAAATCAGGTCTACTTCATTCTCCTTGCTGACAAAACTGCTCCTATAATTACACACTACTGCATGGGTGTAGGAAATGGGTGTTAAGGGGTTGGAAAAATCTCCACCCCCCCCCAAATAATTCAACCAGTTTTACTTATTATAATTTCATGCTTTGCCAAAATATTTACCTATTTAATCTTTATTTACCAATCTTTATTTAAGCACTATTGTTAATTACCTTAAATGAGAACTCATCTTAGATTGTTCGCACACAAAGTCTCTGGAAATCTCACCACAGCAGCTGTATGTGCCATTTATATAAGTCCCCCTGTGGTTCATGTAGTTTACCAATGATGACACAATACAGTAATTTGTGAGAAGCCATAATGTCCGTTTGGTTAGCCATGGTCTCCTCAACGGTGTGATGAAATCCCAGGAAGTGGGCGACTTCATGGATGATCGTTGATGGGCGAGATTCTATTCCTAGAAATTCACTTCTCTTCCAAAAAGGTGGGCAGAGATAAACTATTCAAATCATGCTCTCAGAATCATGGTTAATGACTAAAATACCAGACACCGCCATTGCAATACAGGGTTATTCATGTTTTAGAAATGACAGAGCAAAGAGAGGAGGCATTGTTATTTATGTTGACAATTGGGAGGGCTTACAAAACTTTAGCCCTTCTGCCACCTTTGATTTCCTTTCTGGCACAATTGAGATCTCGTGCAGTAAATCAATCATTGTTGCAGGAATCTACCACCCACCTAGCTCCCCAGTGCATTCCCTATCTGACATAGCCCATCTCCTTAGTGAAACCATAGCTCAAAACCCAAAATGTGAACTGTTGGTCTTTGGAGATTTTAATATTGATTGCCTGAATCCTAAAAATAATAGTTCTTGCACGCTGTTTAAGACTTTGCAGCTAACGCAATTAATGTCCTCCCCAACTCGTATAAACATTAAAAGCCATAACCATACCCTGCTCGATTGGATTCTCTCCACTTCTCCTGATACAATCCAGGAGGCCGGTGTTCTCCCAAACCGTTTCAGTGATCACTGTTTAGTGTACTGCGTGTGCAAAATAGAGGCTACTAAATCCTCTCCCAAGGTTAAAATCACCAGGCCCTTCAAAAAATTTAATTTTGAAGTCTTTCTTAATGACATCAAGAACCTCCCATGGCACAGATTAAACATTATCCCGGATCTAGACTGTGCTGTTGAATTCTTTCAATTTGAACTCCTACAAATTTGGAATTTGCATGCCCCGCTGCATAAGGTGAGGGTAAAAGGAGCACATATGAACTGGAACTGGATCACAGCTGACCTCATCCAAATGTACCAGTTTAGGGATTCTTTGTGGTCAAAGTTCAAGCATACTGGCTCTATGAATGAGCACTGTGCATTTAGACAATGGCAAAATATATGCACAAAACAAACAATTGGCCAAGGCCCAATATTTCTGTGAAAATCTGAACAATAACCTATCAAATCCTAGAAACTTCTGGACAGTCATAAATAAATTACAAACTCCCCCAATCCACTCCCAGCCCTCCACTGTCAAAGTGGATAACCAACCCCTGCAACTTCCCTTAGATGTAGCAAATGCCTTTTAACAATTATTTTGTCAGTTGCTCCACTGCCCCGATTGCCAAGCTAATAAATGACATGCATCCTGGAACTACAAATGTGGATCAGGCCCCCTCTAAATTTGCAAAGGCCCACTATAGACAAGTTAATTTTTAGACCTGTACCTATTAGTATCATTAAACATCTTAATAATCTAAAAATTAAAAACCATTCTGGACCTGATCAAATCCCAGCAATGCTGTTGAAACTCAGTGCACTGGCAATTGCTAAACCCGTCGCAACCCTAATTAACGAATCCTTGCTGTCTGGATACATACCCAAACTTTAGAAGACTGCAAGAGAAGTGCCTATCCATAAAAGTGGTGACACTACATTGGTTTCTAACTATCGCCCAATATCATTGTTCCCGGTATTGTCA